TCTGCAAGATCCTCGCGTCCAGAAGAAAATGAGCCCTGCTCATCCAAAATGGCGACAACTGGCACGATTCTGTAGTGTACTGGCGAACAGTGACCAGGCCTCTCCACTACAGCCAGGGCATCAGTTCGAGGAACTCAGGGAGGTGCGCTCCACAAGCACAGCCCACTTCCTAGCCCACCCCCCACAATGGATCATTTTCCCCCAACTGTTCCTGGGCTAGTAGTTGCTTGGAATGCAACCCTTCTGCTTCGTAAAGTCACCTATTTTCTGATGAATCGAGGCTGACGTCAGCACCAATCACCGATTCTCGAGGCAGGAGCTACTATGGTAGGGAGACAGAAGGCATCATAGAACGTGGGCCATACTCCCGTCCTCTGCCGGCAGTACACTAAACTTGTCTAGTGTAGTCACTCCAATCCTCTTTTGAAGGGAAGATGGAGTTAAGGTACCTAGGTACTTTATCGCCATTTGCAAGGAGTTCACCGCGCTAACAAGTTGTTCGTATGCGGCTAGTCATCGGAACGGGCCTGGCCGCCTAGACCGGTGCGGGTGCTAAGGAATTAGGTCTTACGTGCATACATGTATGTACTGTGTACATGCCAGCTTGTCGAGGAACTTGAAGCCGCGAAGGGGCCGATTGGATGCCCGGACACTCCGATCCTTCCAACGTTCGTTAGCGGCGAGATCCCGCAGCGCACTGCGACGCAGTTCAACCTGTCCACGAAGCTTCCAGAATGTTGGCATCAATCTGTTACGTTCTGAAGGATTTCTATCTGTCTTGGGTTTCCGCTTTTGGACATAGCAGTCCCGTCATTCCTTGTGTTCGCAAACAGAGCCTCGCAAAACAAGTTGGCGGCTATGGACCAATCATGTGCAGGCCGACTAGGTACATAGGCCCCGGAGGTAAAAGCTTAAAGCAGCTCGGGTGAGGGCAGCATTGCGAGATGTTTATCGGCGGATACTTGGTAACGTTGGTGTGAAACCAGACTTTATCGGAATAATATCACGTTGATGTGAGAGGGTGTGATCTTGTACAGAGTTGCGCAATCGGGAGTCCAGCAAATGGCAGCAAAGCAATGCGTGGGTGCCTGTAACCGAGTGGAAGCTTGAGGACCTACCCTCCTACATTACCTAGGTACTAATCCCTGCCGTCTTTCCAAGTTGGTGCCGAACAGTCAGTTATGTATAGTGGCATCAGAAACTGTACCACAGGCAGGGAGGGTACCTACACTTCCGTTGGGGCGGCGGAGACGAGGACAACGTTCAATGATTTTCAGTTGATTTCATCATGTAAGTACCTTAGGTAACTCAAAGGTAGGTACAAGGAAGCAGTAGCAAGCTGTGTTTAGACCGTGTTTGAGTTTAATTCATATTGTGGAAGGTAGGTGTTCATGTTCGGGACTCCAGGTGAATGAAAGGTCTTTGCGTGGGTAAACATGCCTACTTGGCCTCTATGGGCCAAAAATTCGCGTTATGCAAAAAAAAGTGTCTATCGGTAGGTGGTGAGTGTGCTTTCAGGTGTACCAATACCAGAAGCTTCACGCTGCCCTTTGGTGACATTCCCCTTCCCTGTCTCTGTGCTTGCTTTATTGGCCAGTTTCGCATTACAAAATGGCTTCAGTCCGGGCCCGAAGTGCAAGAATCCAGCCATTCAGCCATTTCGACGAACCCACATCTTTGTATAGCTGATGGCCTCGCTAACTTGACCTTCATGCTTGGTCTGCCACGCAGATGCCCCCCTACTTTGAGGTTCTGAACCGAGAGACAAAATGTGAAAAGTAGCTCTTTCATGTAGTGTCCCGTTGATGATAGCCAGGTACAAAGGTTGTATATGTTATGCAGAGTGTACTTGAAACTGTTCCAATGCAATTGTCCTTGGTGAAGGGAAAAGTGCCCGGTGATAACGTTATTTTGCGTCCAAAAAATCGACGGTTTTCCTTACAGTCACTTCCCAACCCCTGAATATTATAAGGTGGCAGTACCAGACCACCTACCTCTAGGTACCTAACCACCTGGAATTTATAGGCCGGCAGAGGTGTAGACGAAGCATCCAGGTCGGACCAACCCTTCACTTTCCTTCCAGCATCCATCCACCACGAAGTCAAGTCTTCAAGTTTCATCGTTACCCACACTACCAAATATCTTCTCGGAGTCATACACACCTAGTTGCATACTCGCACCTTATTTTCAAAGTGATTTCCGTCTCAACAACAGACGCTGCAACGATGGAGCCTCTCCCACGAGCCAACTCCCCCATGAGCTCCATGCCTGACAAGAGAGAAACATCCCAACAGGACCTCGAAGCCCATGACACCAACAAAACCATGACGGCTGTAGAGGAAACAACAACATCTCCCACCGACGAAACCAAATATCCAACCGGCCTCCACTTGACGCTCATTATCCTCTCGCTCTGCGTTTCCGTCTTCCTTGTTGCCCTCGATCAAACGATCATCGCCCCTGCCCTGGGCGCCATCACTACCCAATTCGCCTCCATCAAGGACATTGGGTGGTACGGCGCCTCCTACCTCTTGACCACCACAGCCCTCCAGCCCATGTACGGCAACATATACACGCTCTTTGATATCCGGTGGACGTTTTTGGGAGCCGTTGCCCTGTTCGAATTAGGCAGTTTGATCTCGGGTATTGCGCCCAGCTCTACCGCTTTCATCGTTGGTCGGGCTGTTGCTGGGTTGGGAACCGCGGGTATTTTCTCAGGGGCAATGGTGATTCTAACCTATACAATGCCGCTGAGAAAAAGGCCAGTCATGTTTGGTGTTTTTGGGGGGCTTTGGGGTGTGTCTAGTGTTGTCGGACCGTTGCTTGGAGGGGCGTTTACAGATGAAGTTACGTGGAGGTGGTGTTTCTATATCAATCTACCGCTTGGAGGGGCGGCGATGGCGGTCATCTTCTTCTTTCTCCGGATACCGAGGAATGTAAATGACGACAAACGCGGCGCTGAGAATGGCAATTCCAAGGCGTCGTTTGGTTCAAAGCTTTTGCAGCTGGACTTGATAGGGGCGGCCACGTTCATTCCAGCCATTATCATGTTGCTGCTTGCTCTTCAGTGGGGAGGCGCCGATTATCCATGGAACAGCTCTGTGGTGATTGGCCTCTTCGTCGGGGCGGCAGTCATGACTCTGATCTTTGTTGGAATTGAGATCTGGCAGCAAGATCGGGGCCTTTTACCACCGCATTTCTTCAAGGACCGCAATGTCTTGGCGGCCCTGATGTTTGCCATGTTTGTTGGCGCGTACTTTTTTCCTCTCGTCTTTTATCTAGGTGAGTTGCATCTTGCTTGCCTGAAGCATCCTTTAGAACGACTTCTAACTAGCCTGGGCAGCACTTTACTTCCAAGCAGTCAAAGGGGACTCGGCCATCGAGGCTGGTATCAAGCTACTCCCCTACCTGATTTCCTTCGTTCTTGCCTCTATGGCCAGCGGAGCCCTAATCACCATCTTTGGCTGCATCAACCCTGTGGTCCTCTTTGAGACGGCTCTAATGACAGCCGGTGCCGGGCTCATCACCACCTTTTGGCTCGACACCCCCTTTGCCAAGTGGTTCGGATACCAAGTCGTGGCCGGCCTAGGAACGGGCGTCTGTTTCCAGGCCGGCATCCTTGTTGTCCAAAACGTTCTTCCACAGCATCTGATCCCCCAAGCCACGGCATGCGTGCAGTTCTTCCAATCGTTTGGGGGCGCGGTCTTCATTGCGGTGGCGCAGAGTGTCTTTCAAAACGGCATTATCAATAACCTTGTCCGTGATGCGCCGGACATCAGCCCAGAGCTGATCGTCAATAGCGGTGCTTCGGACATCCGCCAGGTCCTGACGAACATGGGTCGCGAGGATGCTACTAATGCAGTCCTAGGCGCGTATACTCTGGGGTTGAGGAACACCTTCTACATTAGCGCTGCTGCGGCTGGATGTACTTTTCTTGCTGCCTGTTGCTTCGAGTGGAGGAGGATCCAGAAGGGAGGAGGGGAAAAGCAAAAGGCCCAAATCTGGCACTAATGGTCAGGAGAATGAAGGTGAGCCGGTGGCCAATGGTGTGAGGCTGGGTGGAACACTGCCCTAGGCTGGATCGTCGGGTCACCGAAGACTTCCATTGTTCGGTCTCAATGTTACCGCAAGTATAATGGAATAACACCTAGATAGGTACCTAGATGAATAGCACGTTCACCAACCACAATGCTCCAGTCAAACAGGCAGCTTGTTGATGGACGATGTGCTGACTCGGGCCTTGTCGATGCAACGCAAGGGGGCCGGCCGACACTAGTCGAGATTTCGGCCGAAATACATGGCTCGACCGACGCAGGACCATTGCACCCTCACAGAGATACGGGTCGAGTCTGATAACCCTCGCTTACCATCCAAGCCCATGCACCACTGACTTATATCGGTCGTGTTGGAGTAATCCCCGTAAACGGGAAAAACATAGCCTTCTGTCCGATGAAGAGAGTGTACCCAAATCCACGACAACGCGGGATGATGTTGACGGGGGACGGCCGAGCAAATATGAGTTATCATGATGACGGATGCGGCATGGATGAAGTTGAGTGAAGGGATGAGCCATCCATACGAGATGTGATTTGTGGTGTCGTCTTCGTTCGAGGCAGGAACCTAGTCAGCCTGATGTAAGCCGCGTGCCTAGCCAGTATAGAAAAGGTCGTGTTTAATCGTGCCAATTGGGATAGAAAAGTGAAGACAGTACGCGGTATTCCAGTGCAACCACATTGTCAACCTTGGGGCCCCAGTAGACCTTCCTTTGACATACGATCACTAACCATTGCAAGGAACGCGCCGTGGGTACTCACGTTATCCTCGTCCTTCAGACACAATACCCGGGTGACGCTGAACGGCCGAAGAGGGGTCTCCCATCATTGGGGTTAACAAGAAGACCAAGAGCAGCGTGACACTGCACTCTAGAGTCCCAGAAAGCTTTGTGTGAAGGTATGTCCCAGGTAACGCCTTCATTACCCGCATTGCAGACACCTGCCATAATGCCGAACTACGGTGGGACGATGGTCCATCGACAGCTGCGCGTCAACAACCAGCCAGCAGTAAAAAAAGAAGACAGGGAAAGACCAAAAGTGTCTCTGAATAAATCAGCCATTATTCGGAGGCTTGGAGCACTGTAAGTAATCCCATCATTGATCAACACCCCGGCGTATGAAAAAAGCGATGGCTAATATGGTCGATCTGCCAGGGAGTCATACCAGATTGCTCTCCAAACCCTCGATCTGATCCGGAGCAACGTCGTATCCTGCCGCTTTGTGTTGCCAAAACGGCTTGCTCCCACTGCCAGACATCATGACTTGGTGAACGAATTCGAACGAGCCGTTGCGCGCGTCGTGCTGACTCATCCACACATGCAAGTGGGCATCGCAGGCGCCAAAACCAGCACGCCATCGTGGGTTCGTCTCGACAGCATCAACCTCGGAAAAGTGATCAAGTGGCAAACGGTCAAAGGCGGCGATGATGCTTTCCAGAAGGAATTTCAGCAGACGCTAAACCGCGAGGCTGACACCAGGTTCATCAAGTTCCGTGTAGAGCCAGGATGGCGTATCATGGTTCTTCGCTCGGAGGCTGACACGTCTTTCATCGAGATCCTCCTAATGTTCAACCACACTCACCTCGACGGTGTCAGCTGCAAGAATTTTTACCGGGAGCTCCTCACACACCTCCATGCGTCCGCCTCGGGCTTGCACGGCTCCCCACAAGCAAGCCACAACCCGTTCCTGATCGACCACATCCTTACCCTATCACCCACGTCTGCCTTGGTCGCCAGCCTCCCGCCGCCTCCGGAGTACATCCTCCCTTTCCCCGTCGACCCAACAGCGTTCGAACACTTTTTCAAGCACGAGATTCAAACCCCCTCTTCTCAGTATCCGCGCAACGTTGCAACCCATGCACACTGGGCCCCAATCCAGCTTACCAGCCCTGACACAGTTCCATTCAGGAGCCAAATCCGCACCATGACATTTCCAGCGAACATTTCGGAGGAGCTGGTACAAGCCTGCCGGAAACAGGGGGCGACATTGACGGCGCTATTGCACGGTATTGCACTCGTTTCGCTGGCCCCCTTGAGAGAACTCGTGGCGAAAGCCGATGCCTTTGCCTTTTTGACGCCGATGAATATCAGAAGATATTTGCCCTCTCCTTATTCGAAAGGAAGGACTGGCTGTGTCAAGAACAGATTGGACGCCGAAACTGCCATGGGGAATTACGTGACAATTATCGAGCACGTGGCGGATGAAGAGCTTGTCGGCCGGGTGCGGCGTACCTTGACGGAGTCCAAGTACGTGTCAGGTTGTAACTTTCAGCCGAACCCGAGGGCAGCGGAGGCAGAGGAGGTGTTATCTGAGGTGCACGACTTGATCTTCGTCGCCGCACGCCGCGTACGGGCGGACCTCACGGCCAAGAGCGAAAGCTGTTCTCCGCGAGGCCTGGAAAACGACATGATCGGCTTTGTATCGCGAGGGGTCTCGGACTGGAGAAAACAGTTGCAAGAGGAAGTGCAGAGACCGAGGAAGTCGTCGTGGGTGGTGAGCAATTTGGGGGCCGTGGAGGGAAAGCCGTTCTGTACCTTGGAGGAAGGTCAGGAGGAGAAGGAGGATGGATGGTCCATAACGCGTATAAGCATGACGCTGTGTGCCAATGTGGTAGCGTCTGCTTTTGGGATCGCGGTTGCGTCGGTCAAAGGAGGGGACCTGGTCGTGTCGGTGAGTTGGCAGGAGGGCGTGGTGGATGAGAAGGTAGGGGACGCGTTCGTGGTGGCAATGGAGAAGTGGTTGCGACTGGTCGCGGAGAGGCAGAGGGCGGATGATGTTCAGTTGTTTGGAGCAAGTGGAAGGTTTGCAGTGACTGTAACTAGGTACCCTGGGTACCTAGGTACGGCTGCTTAGGTTAGAGGTAGGTGTCATGTACTATCATTATTACAGATGAGACGTTAGTAGTAAGACGGGTTTCCGCGCATTTGGCTGCCTTGCACTAACCGGCTCACTCCAACTGCGTTAGCCACCTTTATGAGTGAAAGGGGAAAGTCCAAGTCGCTCTAAGTACGGCAGGCAATAGAAATGATGAGCACGTGACCAGAACGGGATCTCTCGGCTGCATGGATGTGGATGTGGGCTGTGCCACCCCGCACCCGACCTGAGTCTGGATTCTCCATAGAAACCATCATCTCTTCCCACATCCATGCATTGCCCTGTGGACTGATGACTGCGTGGGAATAGCATCACCACCCTTCCCGTCTTGATACCTTTGCTTACCATTGAAGCCATCTACAGCGGCCAAGGATCATCTTCTTTTCTGATCTCTTCCTACCTGTGTTTCTTCTGCACTTGACAAGCAAGGCACACTGGTGCAGGATCGCGTCTCCCGAGCCGCCGAGTGGAAAGTATTCGAATTCAATTTGACATCATGACCAGAACACCTATCAGCCTATCAAGTTATATGGCTACCTCTACATACCAAAGATCAACCAAAGTCCCGAGCCATTCCCAACTTGTGTGAAAATCCCAACGCCTAACTTCTCAGCTTGCGAGTGCCACCTCAAGCAGTCGCAGACAGGGCCTTGTCCGCAATGGTGGAAGCGCGGGTGCTGATGCTCACGCTGGGGTCCAGCAGATCCAACATGCTGATGTTGGTCCCCAGAGCCTGGATGAACCAGTTGCGCAACTCGGCCGCAATCAGACTGTCAACACCCAGCTCTGCCACCGACTTGGCCGGGTCAATGCTCTCCACGTCGACGAACAGCATCTCGGCCACCACCTTGGTGATGGCATCCTGTACCAGCGCCACCGTCCGTCCTCGCCCAGCCTCTCCCTCGCGCACTGCAGCTTCCAGCTCTGCCCGGAGATGAGCAATCGTGTTCTTGTTGGAACCCTCATCGGCTGCGTCTTGTGACCTTCCCGAGTGTCGCTGTGCGTCCGCAAAGGCGCGCATCATCAAAGACACGCGCCCGTCACTGTACCACCGTGGTGGCACTGTGGAAGATGACGACGATGCCTCGCTGGCCATCTCTTCACGTCTTTTCGCCGCCATCGCTCTGGGATCCAAGTATGTGTGCAAGTTTGCGACAGAAAGCCCGTCATCGTCTTGACCTGACCATTGCCCAGCACTAGTCTCCTCCGTCACCGTTCGGTTGTTTAAGAATGCCGGCTCGAGGAGCGCCAGGAACTGAGACTCATCCAGGGTCAGTGCCTTGTTGCGTTCAAACATGTCGACGGTAATCCCGTTGCTGCCGACATCCGTCACGTCCTTGATCAGGCTAAACGACACAGTGGACGCGGGCAAGCCAAGCTGTCGGCGGTATCGTGCAAAGGCATCCTGGAAGTTGTTGGCAGCCGTGTATGCACTTTGGGTCGCGAAACCATACACCGACAAGGCAGAAGTGGTCATGACAAAGAAGTCAAGAGGCATCGACAGAGTCGCTTTGTGCAGGTTCTTGGTGCCTGCCACCTTGGCAGACAACCCTTCGTTCCATCTCTCGGGTGACAGCTTGTCAAAGGTCAGATCCCTATACGAGACTGCCGCATGCACGATGCCCTTGATGGGACGAACAGCCGAGATTGCCTTGATCGCGCTGGTCACCTCGTCTTCTTTGCTGACATCGCAGGGAAAGCATTGAATCTCAACACCTCGCCCGGCGAGCCCATTGACCAGCTCCTGGACACTTGGAACGCTGGAGGCAGTACGCCTCGACAAAAGTGCGAGGTGCCTTGCGCCCCTTCCCACCATCCACCGGACCAAAGATTGTCCCAAGCCCCCCAAGCCTCCCGTCACCACATAGCTCGCTTCGGGGTCGAATTTGACGGTGGGTGCAAATGGCGCCATCCGAACCAAACTTTCCGGGTTCTTGAAGCTGACCACTAGCTTTCCAGACATTGTGCCAAAATCGCCAAGTGCCGACGACAATTGTCCAACGTCTGCCGCCGTTATTCTTGGAACCGGTCCAATCACCCCTTGCCGGTAGTAATCGTCGACGGATTGCATGAGCTCGGCCCCAAGCAGTGGATCCGAATCGAAAACGGCGAACGGGTCGATAGAGGCATAGGTGGCATTGTGTGGAAGTGACATCTGACCGACTACTGGCGTCGTCTGCCCATCCACCCCTCCGATATCGACAAGGCACCCAAGCGGTGCCAGGACCTGCAGGAACAAAGACAGGAGCTCCCCACGAGCGGCAGTCGCCATGACAACCTCGAACTTTCCCTTGCGCGTTTCCTGAGCTGCGCGCTGGAGCTGTCTCGAGTCAAGGATAGAAATTACATGCGAGGCGGGTAGGCCTAGCTCCTCAACCAGGAACCTGCCTTGCTCGGCTGTTTCAACTGTTGCAAACACCTGTGACCGCTTTGCCTTCGCAAGAGTGATGGCTGCCAGGCCAAGGTCCTTGGCGCCCGACTGTATGAGGATTGACTGTCCCTCACGGACGTGAGCGACGTGGTCCAAGGCGTAGACGGCGGTGGTGTATGCGAGCGGCATCGAGGCCATCCGGATCATGTCATCGTCGGGCTGAAGCTTCGTTGCGAAGGCAGCAGGCACACGGGTGACATTGCCAAACTGACCCTTGCCCACTCCATAGACGCGATCGCCAACTTGGATGTTGTGGACTCGGCTGCCTACCACGGTGACCACACCCGCATATTCGGAAGTCAGGTAATCGCCATCCACGCGGCCAGCCCAGTGCTCCAAATCTCTTGAATTTACGCCTACAGCATCAACAGCCACGTCGATAAAGTCGGCCGGCAACGGCTGCAGGAGGTCTCTGTAGGGAATGAAGTACAACGAGTTCAGCACACCGGGCGTCTCGAAAGCAGCACGTACTCCCCCTGTCTGACTGGGGCTGCCAATCGGACGTAGTTCCGGCTTCATGCTCCTCGTCTCTAAGCCGTACTGGGAGTGGAATCCGGTATCTGGGACGTGACGGCTAACCCACAGGCAACCGTTCTGCCAAGCGAACTCGCGGTCAGCGGGGTCGCCACCATTGCTCTGCCCATCCACGAATACAAGAGCCGATCCGCTGGCTTGACGAAACAGGTCACACTCGCCGTCCACGATGCTGCGAGCGAGCTCGTTTGCTTCAGCAGCATCTTCAATTTCAAAGTTGTCCACGTCGATATCGATGGACAAGTACTGGCTGGAGGGGTTCTCAGTTTGGAGCACGCGAAGCAGGCCTGAGATCAAGGCACCCTCGGCAGCCCGTCCCTTGATGGTACCGCAACTTGTCAGAGCGACCAAACTCGTTGCACTGCGAGCCAGGTATTGCATGGTAGCCAGATTCTCCTCGTTGGCCTTGATCAGCAGGTGGCTCTCGTCCAGCAATGCGACCACGCGCGATCCGGGAGAAAGCTCCTTCGTGACGTCGTTGAACGTGATAGCCTTTACATTGGTACCCCGCTGTTGCAGTTCGTGACATATATGATCTACCAGAACTGGTGTTCCGTTGCCGCCACCATGCACCACATGGACAGTCGTTGCGGACTGGGCTTCCGGTAACGGTTCAGGCTCTTGCTCAGGCACCTTGGCAAGAATAACCGAGGTGGTATTATGGGGTTCCGGGAAGTCATCAAGTGTCAGGTCCAGCCCTGCGAAGCCTGCTTCTCTCAGGGAACGGTCCCAGTCCTTCAGGCTCTGGAAAGGAGCATCCACACGTCCATCTGGAATGCCGGCCCAGTATCCCGTAAAGGTGCCCACAACAACGCCTGGTACGATGAAGTTCTCCGTTGTCTCAACCAGAACAAGTCGACCACCTGGCTTGAGGAGCCTGCGGCATCTTGACAGCGTCTTGGTCATGTTCGAGGTGGCATGAAGGACTTGACACGCAATAATCAGGTCATATGTCTGCTCCTCGTATCCCTGTGCCACGGGGTCCTCTTCAATGTCAAAGACGGAGAAGTTCATATCCCTCAGATCGGCCATGGATTCCTTGGCCGCCGACAGGAAGCCGGGCGAGATGTCTGTGAAGGTGTAATCCCGGTAGGCCTTGATGCCGTTGGGGCCGTTAAAAGCCTTCATGGCGATCCGCGTCGCGCCACCAGTACCGCCTCCAATCTCGAGAATCCGGAGGTTTGGGTTGGCGTGGGCAAGGCCAGCTAGGACAATGGAGAGCTGTGGGTAGATGCCTGTCATCAGGAGGCCTTCCTGATAAAGTGGTGTCAGAAGGTTCTCCCCGATGATGACTTCCATCCCCGTTTTTCGTTCATACAGAATGTCGGCCGCATTGTCGTGCAGAAGCTTTGCGATCTTGACTTCCATGATGTCAGGTGCCTGGGCGACAAGTTCTTCGATCTGCTGAAGCAGGGCACCCTTAGCTGCCAGCTCTCTTGCCTGTTCCATCATCTCAGAATGATCACTTTCACCCTTTCTGATGATCCAGTCAAAGAAGTGGCCGACCTCACCCGAAGGCTGGGGCCGATCCGCCTGCCGCCCGAAAGTTTCATACATGCTGTATACAATAAAGTGGGCTACCTTGTTCGTGATCCCCCACAGCGGCGCCTTGTCAACATTCTTGGTTGGTGGAGGGTATATTTGGCGAGCTTGGCTGTTGCTGAGCTTACGGATGTCCGGCTTCCACACTAGGCGAGTGTAGGGGCTGCTGAATGCCCTATCCACCGGCTTGGCCTCACTGGAGAAGCTAACGCATCGGAGGGACTCAACGTCAAGCAGAAGCTTTCCATCTGCACCCAGGAACTGCAGATCAAGATGGGCACTCCGGATACCGCGCCGCTGCCCACGAGCCACAACGGTACATGTCTCGCCGCCATGGGCTAGGCTGCTGTCGATGTACAAACCGGAGAATTGTACCGGTACAAAGGCAGTGGTAGCCTCGCTCGGCCGCCCTCCGTGGCACGCAACCAAGCCCAGCTGAAT